GAATACCAATCACTAAAAGAAAAAATAAAACAATACATATTATCCTTTAAAGTTTAACACACACAATCCTTTAAAGTTTTTTTAATTAACTATTAATATAGAGTGGTTCAAATATAAATGACTTTTTTATGTGAATCAACGCGGACGTGCTTACACTGATTGTAACAAGCAAGGGTGTCTGTTCACACGTTACAATTTATGATATCCGAATAAATAGTATAGAGTACTATTGCATACTTGCGCTTTCTCCGAACTATCCACGGAGTTTACGTAAAATTTCGACGGCTTTAACATTTTTGTTTGCAAGAAATTTGATTAACGTGTGAACAACACGTTGTACAACAGCACTCGGTATTATTTGTTTGCACATCGCAACAACTACTTCAGAACCAACTGCCATGAGTACACAACTAGAGAGTGAACAGACTCATCTGTTACTTAGTGTAAGTACATCTATCAATGCTGATTTGTATTCACACAAAAAATTCTCATTCATATTTAAAGATTTGAACCATCCTCATGATTAACATAAATACGTCGACAATGATTGCTTACATTTGCTTTCAAGAGCATTCGATTCTTGAAGAAGTCTATGAAGCATAATATTTGGAAATATTATACCAAAATATGGTATAACGCCAAAAACTTCTTTCCTTGCCATATTTTGATGGAGTGACATTGCTGCCATATAAATAATAGCTAAGGCAATTGTCACAAATCGTGCTGTAAAAAAACATTAAGAATATAATATATTTGTGCACTTAAATAATTATTTATTTTATAAAAAGATATCTACGTTTTGAGAAATATGCTGCAATATGCATGCCAAATGTTATTAGATGAGCAATATGTGCAGTAAATAAGAGCCAGAATATAAACGCATTTCCATATTCCAAAAAGGCCTCAACATTATCAGAAAAAGTATTCTTAAATAATATGATTATTGGTATTATATAAATAGTGCTCATTAATATTCCTGTAATTAACCAGCTAAGTAAATTGTAAACCAATTTGACTCCATTCATTGCCATTAAAACCTGAAAATAATGAAACAAATAAATATTCTTTCATGATTAAAAACACACGAAAAATATAAAGAAAGAATAATATACTAACATTTATGCCAATAAACTTTTCTTTTGATGCATAGTTAGTTTCCACACAAAGTGTAATAACAAAAATTGTAACTCCAAATGAAACAATTACCATACGAAGTACTATATCAAGTATATCGATTTTAACATATGGTGGATAAGGCATTCTTTGTATTGACATCTGAAAAATAACATCACAGAATAATAAAAAAATAATCCTGTTATATCACAGCCATATGTTATTCACCTGTTCTTATATATATGTAAATATTCAAATTTTTTAAACATTTTAATAATAAATTTAGTATTAAAATATATTTATATATTCTTTTTAACACATACTTTTACGTTAGAGTCTGGTGCTACTTGTTTTATAAATGCTTCATCCAAACAGATCTGAACTTGAATAAATGGCATCATTTCGAAATACATCGAAGTTGATGAAGTAACACTTTCACTTGCTAAGCTTTGGTACAAAGAATTTGGAATCTTCCATGAGTGCCTCAGTTTATATTTTATGGTAGGTTGGTCATATTGTTTAAAAATTACAGCTATTGCAGAAAGTATTGGATTTTGTGCCTGAGACTGTGTGTAAACATTTATTATTTCAGTTTCATTAGCAAAACCGTTCACATCTATATAAAAACAGAAAAGGTATTATTTTATAGTCACATAAACTATTAAAAGATACTATTTATATTTTTTAATCGCCATTTTATACTTACTTTCAGGCAGGAGACGAAGACAATATCTAACGGATTCCATGATTTTCTCTGTATATGCATTTTTTGGTACGTAATATACTTTATTTAAAGCATTATCAATTTTTGTCATTAACTCATCTTGTGTATATAGAGAATAATATGTGCTGACGTTCACCACAACTGGGGGCTGAACGCTGAAATCTCTCACAGTTTGCAGTAACGCGAATACTGCAATAGGTACTAAAGTTTGTAAGAAAATCATCATACGCCAATGCCTTTTGCGTACTATCATATTTTTGTACATCAACAAGCCAAAAATTTTCCATCTGCTAGCCATTTTTATATCTTGATGTCAACTTTATTTCAATATGGAGAAGGTTTATTAGCAGGCTGTATTCAAATATCTACAAATAGTATATACACTACTTTGCCATTGAAAGTACACAAAGTCTCCTGAATAAATTATTGGGATTGACGTATATGTTGGCTTCAACTTAAAGCATATGTCTCATATATGAACTATACAGCCTTAGTCATTAAAATGTAGAAATCTATTCATATTGTAGCAGTTTTTGCGATATCTTATAAAGAAATGTAATTTATTGTTTCTTCTTTATAGATTAAATCCAGTTTCTGACATACTGTTGTCATAGCAAATTTTACCTAAACAATCATAACTTATCAGTCATGAGTCATAGTATGAGTCTCAAGTGAAAATATAGAACATACATGATATTCATGATATTACATAAAAGTAATGATATTATTCACGACTTTAATAATTATTATAATAATTAAACTTCAATCTAACTTTAATAATTATCAATAATACAACAAAGATTATTCGGCAGTTTTTAAACTAGATAAGATCAAACAGTTTAATGTCATATCAAATACTGGGAATCAGATTAAGAAAATATACTATTCTGGAAAAGAATTTCCAGAAAACATAAAGAACTTACGATCAACAAGAAAATTGACAAAAACAAAAGCCAGCAGCTTTTCTTTTAAAAACTCATCTGCCAGTTTTACATGAGACTTCACTGTGTTCATTTGAACATGACAAAAATAGAAATATATTAATGTCCGAATTATATACTTATTCAATTTAATATTTTTAACTTACTTGCATTTGCCAACCGTACGTTGCTAGACGTTGCATCAAAGTGAACTTGCAATTTAGATAAGACATGGGAATCAATATACGCTCATTTGTTCAATTTCCACGTCCTTATCATTCGGAATGCAAAAAAAAAAGAGAACATAATTGGAGCTATTACACGTATGTACGATAACGATTTGACTTGAATTATATGCAACAAATGTACTCACGAGAACTGTCACATTTCGCAACCAGTCTTCCTCGAAAACGTTCAATAGCGAAGTTGTACGCCTTATAAAGCTTCATTTTATCACATTATCAAAGACAATAATGATAATTTTGCGACGCGTTATACTTAAGCACTTAATTACAACGCGTCGCATAACATCGATAACGTGTGCCAGCACTCAACGTCATACCGTCATACCAGGAAACTGATCGTTGTCTGAAACTGATGATTGCTCCATAATGCGGGGTCTACAATAGAAGTCGTAGCGGTCGTAGGGTCTTAAGTCGTAGAACATTGACCAATCACAGTCGAATGCGGGGTCTACAATAGAAGTCGTAGCAGTCGTAGGGTCTTAAGTCGTAGAAAATTGACCAATCACAGTCGA